GAGAGAGAGAGAGAGACAGAGACAGAGACAGAGACAGAGAACGAGACACGGAACCAGTGATCACTCTTGTTTATCAGTGTATCATTGTCATCGTTAATACTAGTATTATTGTTACTGTTAATATTATTACCATTTAAATCATTATTTTCTTGTATCATTTTCTTTGGCCTGTGGACAGATCAGACACGACCTTGGTTCACGTCTTCCTAGTCAAATGTCAGTGGGAATCTTCCTCAGGGGAGAGACGGCTGGGTCAGAAGGAGATGATAACGAGGTGGCGTGCCGCGGGTAACAGTTTGTCGGGATCTACCAGCACAAGTCTAGCGTGAGTGCCGGGCTATTACCGAGCCAGAAGATCTTGCGTGTCGGAGGTAAGTGTGGTTAAGTATCCGTGCGAGGGAAAGGACGATGATAAGTGCTTATGGATGCGTTTGCGTGATGCTGGGGAGTCGGGGAATGTCTGAGAGCGTGAGAAGGACGGGAGACGGATAGGGAGGGAGAGATGGAGATAGATAAACACATAGAGAAAAAGAGAAAGAGGACACAGAGCGAGAGAAAGAGAGATATCTACAGAAACATATGCAAAGAGAAAAGAAAAGGAAAGTTGCAGAGTAAGAAACAGATACCAAGAAATAGTATATATGTATACCTAGAGATAGATACAGAGAGATAGAGTGAGAGGGAGATGGAGAGACTGAGAGAGAGAGAAAGAGAGAGACACAGAGAGAGAGAGAGAGAGAGAGAAAGAGTGGGGAAGAAGGAGAAACCAACCCAATAAGTCCTCTGCAAAGACATTGAAACTGATTCTGGGTTGTTAACCTGGAGTCAGACTCTGAAAAAACAACTAACTGGGGTATCTGTACGCCATGTTCAAAATAACTACTGACCCCATACATTCCACCAAGACAGCTGCAGTCATCAACAGAAACCACTTAATACACAAATACCCAAGTTGAAATCCAAATCATTTTTTGAAATATCGTTTGCATTTGCTCGTCCTTTAACTTGAAACAGCCTCCAACAAAAGTTAACTGAACAATTCATAATACTGAATCTTTTATAACCCACAAGGAAAAAACAGGTTTTTATATCAAGGATACTGTCTTTCTTTTTCACTTTTTGGAATGTATTTTCTGTGTTTACTGTCTATTTTTAAGGACTGTACATCACTCGAAGCTTTTTTCCTAATGAGATAGAGTGATAGAGAAGCGCAATCTATTATTTTGATATATTTTTTTATCGTCACCTTGAATACCTGCTCTTTAAAGGTAATTTCTATTCCGATTTTTATAATCCATATCGAAAGAGCTATATCTTTAAAACAACCGACAATATACGTGAGCACCAAGAAACCAATGCGGTCAAACATTGCCTTGACTGAATGAAGCCCAGAGTAACGACTGCCCAGTTCAGGAAGAAGAGCTGTATCTTGTACACGCACCTGTCATCCCCCCCCCCCTTTTACCTCTTTACTTTTGCCCAGTCTCCCCTTTCGAACAAAAAAGAACTTAAAAAGACTTTTTTCCGCAAATTGTGCACCGATTGTTATAGTACCAAGCTTGCTTTATAGACATGCAATATGACATTCTGAGCACGTCTTTTTGGCCTGTGTGATGGACCGGATAGAAGAGGTCTGTAAGTGATTTCATCACTTGTAATGGTCTTTAAAAGCTTGAAAATCTCGCGTGCGGTTCAATATCAGGCTTTTGTTACGCTTCAAATGAAAAAAATACGAACGAAAACTAAAACAAATGCGACGTAATATTAAAACATAACAAAACTGACTTACCGATAATGTATTTCCGGTGTTCATGAATTATTTCGTCTGGAGATTCCCGCAGTCTCGTTTTAAACCAGGACAGATCCGCTTCCTCAAGGTATCCACCGCAAGCGTACGAGTAGAAATCCTGAAAAAGACATAGTTTAACATAATAAACCGATAAAATAATGATTAAAATCGTATTACAATAAACACATGCTAAGATGAAGTTCAGTTCTCATTGCTGTCAAAGCGGCGTCGCAGGTGTGAGGATACGCTCCATGCTTTAATTGAGAAGACCTTAAGTCGATTCTCTTACAGCAAAGATATTCCAGTATTACCGTTGCTGTTCTATGACAGGGGCAACCAAATTACGGTCCCTGGGCCATATCCAGCCAATGAATTCAGCCAATGAGTTCAGTTCATCTGTCCTGCATTACAATGCGGAAAAAAACCCCTTGAAAGATGTGTTTGTATTGTGCGCAGAACTTGGTCTCCAAATAAAATAAATAATTTCAACGCACTCTATAGTGCACATTACCTGTGCTTTTAGAGACTTCACAACTTGTAGCTAATAATATCACATGCTTGCTCGTTTCGATGTGGACAGTCTTTTATTTAACAAATGCGCGTGTAGTATTAACCATAGTAGGTACAGGTAAGCAGCTCGCGTTCGGCATTATCACTGTTTACCGGTCCACTTTGAAGACATTTTAGTGCCTCCAGTTCAAACGGGTAACTGGCATTCACTCCTTGACCCTGGGTGGGAGACAAGAAACAGCCCTGCTTCCCAATAGTCTAACTTCATGTTTTCATGGGGGTAGGGAGGAAAACCTAATTCACAACCAAATGTAGTTGCGGCCAAGGCTTGCTCTTGAGTTCGTGAGACGGTTGCTGAAAAAGGAGGAATGGAGTTCTTAGTGGCACGTAATTACTTGTAGAATTGTCGCTTGTGACCTCGACTTAAATGTTGAGGACCAGTCTTCGTCCATTTTTTCTCAACAGCTTTCTATGTTAGGTGTCTTTAGTGACTCAAATTTTTCAGATGTAATAACATTTAAAGATTTTATTATGATGATGGAGGAAAGAAATTACTAGAGTACGAACGGAGTTAGAGAGAAAAAGAAGGGGAGAGGGAGGAGAAGAGAAGGAGAAGAAGAGAAGAAGAAATAAAGGAAGAAATGGGGAGAGACTGAGATAAGGGGGTAAACAGGTAGGGAGAGAGAGAGAGAGGGTGCAGGAGAGGAGAAATAAAGAAAGATAGATAGCGAGAGAGAATAAAGAAAGAAAGAAAGAAAGAATGAAAGAGAGAGAGAGAGAGAGAGAGAGAGAGAGAGAGATAGAGAGAGAGGAGAGAAAGAAAGAAAGAGAGGGAAAGAGAGAAAGAGTAAGAGAACGATTGGGGAAAAAGGGGGGGGGGGTGCTGGCTGCATGGCAAGTGGCAAAAGCCATAAAAACAGATGTAAAGGAGAGCAGACACTTTGACAAGTTTAGTACAACGTCTTCAGATTTCTTGAATGAGTGAGCTGCTGCGAGAGGCATTAAAACTGGCTACATTTTAAAAGCCCCCACCCCACTCTGCCCACCTACAGGCCTCCTATCGAAATAACAAACAAAAAGCTCGAAAAAGAAGCAAAACGTCTGAGGACAATGTTTTCTTCAGGAAGCCATCCGTTTCTGTGTCCCATCGATCTATTGATGGCAGGTGCAATGTCTGGGAGGAAGGGATTAGGTAGCTTATTGGTCTCGGCAAACCCCCTGTGGGATGAGGCCACAGAGAATTGCTTGATCGCTGCCTGCTGGACTCCATTACGGTGTGGGGATTTGCACGCACATTCTGAGCAAGAAAGGCGAGGAGCCACTTTTAAGTTTTTCGGCTCAAGACACGTAAAATTGAAGGAGGTATTTTGAGCTAGGTTGTAGTGGTACTTTAGTGTTGACCTGAATGAATTAATGAAGAAACAGAGGAAGAGAGAAGTCGGATAGGCTATAGCGATCTGTAATCAAAGAAAAAACAATCGTGTTACACATAATTTCTGTGGAGATGGATTTGCCTTCCAGAAATTTTAATGGTTCATGTATTTCAACATGATTTAGTGACCGATGAATTATTAGATAGGAAGATAAAAAGATAGACAAAAAGTGAATTAAAATCTGTTCGTTAAAACTTGTTTATTATTGTACAGATAGATATCATTGAAGCTGAAAGTTTAGGAATGTGTATCTTTAAATACCAGTGGAGCAAGTATAAGATGTGCTGTGCTGTTGAATCAAATATGCGCACGCGCGTGCATTTGTGTGTGTATGTGTATGTGAGTGTGTGTGTGTGTGTGTGTGTGTGTGTGTGTGTGTGGATATGTGGGTGTATGTGTGTACGTGTGTTGCTGTGTGATGGTATTTTTGTGTGTGTATTTGTGGGGGTGGAAAGCGGGCGATGTTTGCAAAATACAACGGGAAAAAAATAGAGCAGGTAATGGAGTTAAGTGTTCTGATAATGTGTGTTAGATTCCGGCTGACCTGCTGGATAAGAAACAGCCTCCTTCTTCTATTAGTTCAGAGATCAATGTTACGGGTGGGATGGGATGGGGTGAGGGACGGTACATTCGTAAATCCACTTTCAGTAGCCGAAATGGACCTGCCCCTGAAGTTTTGTTCATAGCTTGTTGGCTTGGAACTAAGTGAAAGCATGGTAATAAAGTGTATCAATTAATGCTGAAAGTTTTAGCTTCAACAAAAATTCCCTGTCGCTAATTAAACTTGTCATGTCAAAACATGTTCATTAACTTTCAAAGCCGTTTCAACTGTTAAAATAAAGCAGATATAACTATGTATGTAATAACACGGAAAAACCTCGTCAATTAGTATTGTCTGATTGACATGAAACCGACTCAAATAAGAGGCCTCATGTTGTTTTAAAAGATGACGGTATTACACTTCTTCGACATGCACATTCAGTACCGTGACATACCACAAGCGTGTATGCACTAATGTGTACATTTACACATAAATAACATAACATACCACATAGTAATAATATACGCTCATACGTAAACACCTAATCTCCCTCTCTCTTTCCTTCTCTCTCTCAGCACACACACACACACACACACACACACACACACACACACACACACACAAAAAACAACAACAACAACATACACACGCACACACACAAACACACACACGTATATTATATATATAATATATTTATATATATATATATATATATATATATATATATATATATATATATATATATATATATATATATATATATGATACATGTTTTTTTGTTGTTTTTTTTAAAGATAAAGACATATCTTTAATTGAATACCGGTTTCAATTCAATGGGTCAAAATTTGCTGAAGCTGTACTCTTTTATTGGGAAAAGTGAACGATAAAACATGAAACAAACTTCTGACCATCACATAGATTGTGTATGATCGATGGACAAGGAAATGAAAACACAGACAAATTGAAAGAAAGAACAATATAAGTTACATTTAGACCTTTATTTTGAGACGTCCTATGCAATATAAAAATGATTCAGAAACCTATAAAAGTAAAATTGTGTATACGCGCACACTGAACTAAGACTTGAATTCATAAGACCAGTGACAGAAACATTCCTCTAACTTTTCACTGTAACTGTATGTGTATACTTAAGCTAACTCTCGGCGTATTTTTACCAAATCATAAAAAAAAATTGCAGTCGAAAAATAAACCTTATACATTTTCTGCTGTTCATGTCATTCTTTTAGTATAGATCACTGTAGAGGCGGACTGGACCATGTCTGTTCCAACTCGAGCTGAGACGGATGCAGCATCCCAGTAGAAAGAACGAGATACTGGATAAAAATGTTTCCTACACGGGAATCGAACCCAGGGCGAAGCGCCTAATCGCTACACCGCAGAACGAATCGTTTAATGCTAGACTAATCGTGTTTTGTTTTTCTGAGTCTACAGGAATACCGTGTCGTGGATAAAAGAATAAAAACAAAAACAAAACAAAAACAACCAATACTTAGATTAATTTCACGCAAATCAAATGCCTTAGACTTATGTTTGCTCCAATAATTATGATTGTAACTTCTTACATGTAGCTTTGAACGCCCACGAATAGTTAGGTTTTTAGCTGAAGGGAATACAATCCGATTCGACTGTGTAGCTATTTAAGCAAAGAGGCTGCTCTGGGGAATGAACTAAAAGTTCAAAGCCATTTTTGTAAATGATCCGTGACATGTGAATGTTAAGTTTCATTGACTCAGATAAGAGTATTAAGTCCAGAGTCACTTCCACACACTGACTGATTTGATCCTCAAAGTGACTGAACTAAAGTCCTCATGAGATGATAAAACTGTAACCATACTTGATGGTCCATTAGAGACATTCCAGTTTGTTACGAAAATTATTTCTCTGTTTCGTAAAGCAATCTTCACGGTTCCACATTACCATGTGCCACTTAATGAGGACCTTCTTGAAAGTGCGGATTGTCAACAACCGTCTTCGTCCATTGCGTCAGAAAATGCTGGACTAAAACACATAATAAAGTCGTTTTCAGTCGATTGTCAACATTGAAGGTAGGGTTAAGATACTTCGAAATTTCAAAAGACCAATCATTCGAATTAAATGACTTACTAAGTGGACATAAATAACTTGATTATCAATTTAGTCGTCTTTTCATGCTTTTCTCTCTTCCACCTCTTTCCTCTTCGACTCTCTCGATCTCTCTCTCTCTCTCTCTCTCTCTCTCTCTCTCTCTTTCTCTCTCTCCTCCTCTTTTTTTTCTCTCTCCCATGCCCTCTCACACTTGTCTACACCCACGCACACCTAAAGCAGCCCAGTCACTACTGTATCAACATATAAATGTACGTACATGCTTTTTAAAATACATTTTTACATAGACACACACGCACACAGACACACACACACACACACACACACACACACACACACACACACACACACATACACAAACACCTTCAGGACGACAAGCATGTTCAATTACGTGATAATAGGGACTATGTTGACAACACTTAAGGTGACCATTATGCTCCTGACGTCGTACTTATTGGGTCATCGATTTGATCCACAAAGTGATTGAACTATTTAGGTCAGGGAAACGATGTGGGGAGGGAGAGGCCGGAG